CTTCAAAGTAGAAAAACCAAGATGGAAGAGTTTAGCTCCTCATTTGGAGACTAAACATGAAGAAAATATAAAGAAATAACTTGTCTAAACTGAGCTTAGAAGTATATGTGAATTGGTGAATGAGGGAAGGAAATGGGGTGTATTTATAGGCTTTTAGAGCTGCAGGATCGTGTACCCGATCGGGCTTTAAGGGCACTCGATTGGGTACTTGGTTGCTTCGCGGAAGCTAAAAAAACTGGGACATACCCGACCGGGTATGTCGGCCACCCGATTGGGTATGGATACTCGATCGTGGTTCTCGACCGGGTACAACACCAAAAATCAGGATCTTCATTTTTGTTTTGAGATTTTGCACTTTCCTTCCACTTTTGATGTTCACCAATGGTCCTTAGAGTGATCTTGGACCTGTTTGAGCTCAGAATAAATCTAATCTAAATGAATTACCATTGGGTAAATGGCCCAAATAGGGGGTCGGCCCATTACCCTTAAACCGGACGAACGTCTTGGGCCATGAGAGTGCACGGCCCTATGGGCGTCTAGCCCATGGGATGGAGTAATACAGCCCATGAGTACTGGGCGACGAACGTCGCCATCCATGATCCACGCCAATAGGTGATCCATTACAAGCATCACAGCAAATTCTACCAAAGGCCGGAATACGAATGGCCCGCAACCCTTTGCAGCATCACCAAGAGCAGGCCCCAGATCCAACTGGATGCCCGTCTCCACAAATTAGGCGGGAACCCCAGATTCTGGCGGGAGGCGCATTTAATGCTAGAGATTTGGTGGTTGAGGCATCAGCCACTCACAACCTTCTACATCAGCATAGCCAACTGCCCACTGGTGGTATAAATAGTAGCATTTATTTCATTGTAAAGGGTTGTCAACTTATCTGCCTTAGCTCTCTAGCTTATACTTAGCTCTTACTCGCAACTCTTCTACTGCCTTGTAAGACGAACGGTCACCGAGCCCTAGCAAGCGTATTGTATTGGGGAGTTATTAACTGGTTAATAATACCTGATCTTTTACTTGCTATTTATCGTCTCTTAATCCATCTTACTTGTTTGTTGGGCTAGTTTATTCATACACACATATACCACTCCACTCGAAATCTTTGGGCTCAGAATAAATCTAACCTAAATGAATTACAAATATTTTACAACCTAAACTATTACACCAAAAGTGTGTAATTTCCAAACTAAAAATTAATTAAAACTAATTAAAAACACAAATATAAATATGGAATTTATATGAATGTCAGCTATCTTGTGCTTCTATTGAAAATGAGGGTTTGAAGGGAAAATGGGGAAAGGGTGTAACACCCCCAAATTTCCCACCCAAAAATACATTTGAATAATGATTTATTCAAAGTAAATAATGATTTATTCGAAAAAATCAGAGTCTTGCAGCGGAAAATTCAAAGGAAAACAGGGGCGTTACCGCCACACTCGGCTCTCACATAACCGGGTGCACAGGCTATCCACCACCAACAATTAAAATTTTAATTAATTAATTGTTCAACTACAATTCTTTAAATTTAAGACTAAAATAAATTACTCAATCACTTTAGTCTATGTGTTCTAGCGGAAGCTCTCGAAATCAACTTCAATATGATCCTCAATTCCTGCACAAATAAAGTACAGAAAGAAAAACACAAAGAAACAAAAATTAGCTGGAAATGCTAAGTAAGACCCACCCAACCCTGTAAAATAATCATGTTTGATACATATATATCATTTTGTGAAAACATTTGGGAGGAAACCTCATAAAACATTTTATACAAACTTCTCATCACAAAATCACATGTAAAATAATAATATTCCGAAAATAGGTACATATTTCCAAATCATAATAATTCTAAAAGGTCAATATACGTAAACCACCAAAATCCTCGTAATTATATTCCAAAACATAAATCATATGTACAGCCCAAATATTCATCTCAAAATAATTCCAAATACTCATAATCAATATTCAACGTAACCATATCAAATCAAATTAATAAGTATTACTTTGAAAACCTACAAATAATTTAATAATCTCAACCACATCAAATTCAATCCAATCCAAACAAATATAACCCACTCAAATAATCCAATATAATGTAATTCAATTCATCTCCATCAAGTCCAACCAAATAATCCAAATCATCTCAAGTTCAATCATTCAAACTCAACCAAATTCAATGGAAGCCGAACTCCTACCTTAAGTGTGCACACCCCCTAAAAGAGATTCCAAGCTCTCCGGGTAGTAAAAAGTCCGAGTAGTCGGGATTTTTCTACCGACTACTACAATTAAGCTGGGATGCTCCAATTTTGGGAGATCCCTGGTGGAATTAGACTTATAGCCATTACCACTCACCAAGTCCACATTTCTCGGAGTACTCACAAAAATCATAATCCAATCTCAATTTCAAGTATCATAACATCAATCAGAATGGATATGAAATCCAAATTCCACAAAATTATTCACAATGAAATTATTAACTCTAACTCATCATACTCAAATATACCATAAATAGTCCAAAATATAGGATACTTCATAAATAGCTCAAATCTCAAATCTCAGTACATTAACAATTCATATGTAAATTCGAATGCTCAAAATATCACCCAATATAAAATACTCAAATCTCAAATATATATAATTCACAATCATAATTGATACGTAAAATCTCATTAACTATCAAATACTCAAATGATCTCAAATAACTAGTCACAAATAAATATATATGGGAAACGCATGAAATTTGGTTGACATAGTACTTACTTTGAATCGTGATAAATCCTAATTGAAGCCTGCCTCTAGCCTGAACTTCTCCAAATTCGCGTTCTAGAATATTGAAATTCTAGGATTAATAATTTACTCACAATTAAGACATATACCTACTCGATTGTCCATCTGAACAGTCAGTTGTTTATAATCGCTTCATGTTATTTAATTTAATTGCCCAAATTAAAAGGGAAAAGTGATCAACTCGTCCAACAATTCTCATTGTCCAACTGTTAATTATGGTTATAGTTATACGAAGTACTTATTACTAGTAGTAATAATTAATATTATATGCCGCCAAGCATAACTATTGTGATTACCATTAAAATCAATGTTTTTAAGACTGCCAGCCCAACCTTCTGTGATCCAGTCACCTTGAACTAGACGGCCAATAATCTTAGTAGGGTCGGTCCATACCAATTAAATTATGAGGTCTGGGTCTAAATTACTCCGTATTTGTTTATGACAATAAGTGGCCGATATATATCAATTAAATAAAACGCAGAGTATGCATACTACGTACTTGATCTTCGTCGTCAACTGAAACGAGCAGGACAAAGATAGTACCGTCAATCGTGGCAGCTTCTTCGTCCGGCGACGGTGACGGCAGACTTCAGACGGCCTTCTTCTTCCAGCGATGTCACTCCTCTGTCCGCGGTGCCTGGTGGCGCGACACTTCCTTCTCTCCGGCGGTGTTGACGGAACGGCCAGTGCGTCACTCCGGCGATGGCGGCTTGGTCCGGCGTACAACTGGGTCTTCTTCTCCAGCAGTGGAGCGGCGAGATACTTTCTGCGGCGTCGTTGTAATCTTCACCGGCGACGTTCGTTCTGTGGCGACGAGGAAGATGGCCCTTCTCTCTCTCCCTCCCTCTATCTCTCTGTTTTCCTACACCTACTTTGCTCTTTTCTTTCCTCTCGATCTTGTTTTTCTTTGTTATCTATCTTCACACGCAGACTTAATGTATATTAAGGTCGTATGTTTTTGTTTTGCAGAGTGTGGTTATGCTGTGCGTATTATTATATACATATAATATGGTCTGATCGCTAGGATGGTCATGGCTCGGTACTTTTGGTTGTTACGCCATCTCATTCTTTAGTAAATACATGTGCATGTGCGATGTGTCGGAATTGTATGCATTATGCATGTGAATAGTCCGTAGTCATATATGTGATGTATGTGTACTGTCCCATGTATAGCTAATAATACTAGATTATTTGGGTTCATTTGTGAGTTGTCAATTATTATTGTCACGAGTATTGTTTTAGTAAATATATCAATTGGCCAAATGCATGCATATGAAAGATGGCAGTACATATAGTACATATATTATTGATACTATTCGTCCTATCTCATCCTAATTACATGTACTCGTATATATTATTGGTATGCACCTCATTTTTATGTACTGTATATTATTGTTATTGCCACTGATTGATTTGTTTGGCTGGACGAGTTACACATCTTTGTACACATATATTATTGATCGAGTTGATATATCATGTCTAAGTCTTACCAATAGCAGTGATTTATTATTATTATTATTATTATTATTATTATTATTATTATTATTATTATTATTATTATTATTATTATTATTATTATTATTATTATTATGGGTACTAAAATAGGTCAAGTTATTGCAAGTCGGCAATAGTATATGGCGGCTGAGTTGATAAGTATGTAGGTAGTATAATTCAATCACTTATATTAGGGGAATTAAATCTCAATTATTGTTATTATTATGTGTGTATGTCGAATGTATATATATATCAAATGTCTAAAGTCACTTTTATTCTTTGTATTATATGTATATTTATCACTTGTTACAAAACGTCACTTTTGTTATCTACGTCAAAATCTTATCTGGTCAACCTAATAATTATAAAAATGTCACTTTTTGTAACATTTTGTCAGAATAATTATTTTTATTTCAATTAAATTTTTCGGGGTGTCACATTCTACCCTCCTTAAAAGATGCTTCGTCCCGAAGCATAAGTTAAGAAAATATCTGCAATACTATTAGTAGGTATCACATGTTTAGTTAATATTAAATCTTTTTATTAAATTTAAGGAGTGTCACATTCTACCCTCCTTAAAAGAGTGCTTCGTCCCCGAAGCGATTAATTTACTTAAGTAAATTGATTATTCATTCAAGATCAGAACGATACATAATCTTCAAATAGAGTTACTAATTTTGAAAATAAGAAATTTTATATGATTTCGCCTACTAATTTCGGATTCCTCCATTGCGTTTTGCATAACGGTTGGGTCCAAGAGTTGAAGGGATCCCCTTCTTCCTTGATTGACACTCGAACACCCTATGTCCTAGCTTGTCACAATAAAAACATCGTACGAGTGTTCCGTCACAATATTTCCCGGGGTGATCTTTTCCACACTTCGAGCAGTAGAAGTGCATCTCTTCAGTTGAGTTCTTCTTCTTACGCTTCTGGTCTTGGCCTTGATTGTTGATCTTCTTCTCGTTCCGAGTGTGCCCTAGCTGAATTAGTTTGCATTGTTTGCCTCCTGGTTTGTTTTCTCCTTCAGTCCCCTTCCTCGCTCTCTTGAGTGTTTTCTTCTGGAGTTGTTGCACTCGATAATGCTTGCCAGCTTTGTTGTATGCATCGTTCAACGTTTGGCATTCTGAAACACAAAGAGCTTTTTGTGTCTCGAAGTTTAGACCACGTATAAACTTGTTAGTTTTCTCGATTTCATCGGGAACTAGCGTGGGTGCAATTTGTGCGAGATTCAAGAATTTAGTGTGGTACTCTTGGACAGTCATACCCACTTGCTTCAGGTGTAAGAATTCTTCATACTTCTCAGCTCTCACGTGCTCTGGGTAGAATCTTTTTCGCATTGCCTCCTTGAACGTCTCCCAAGAAAAGTCGGGTTGTTGACGCAACATTGGGGCAGTCGTGGCCCACCAATTGTCTGCTTCTTGACGTAGATAGTACGCAGCCGTAATAATTCGTTGTTCTGCAGGGCAGTTTATAGCATCGAAGAGTTTGTCGAAAGTGCGAATCCAATCCTCAAGGATGAGAGGATCTTCTTGGCCTAAATAACACGGGGGATTGCGCTTCGCAACAAGTTTCGCTATATCATTGCGGTTTTTGAGACGTTGTTGGTGTTGGTTCTGAACTAACACACTCCCGATAGTCTGGATGAGTTGAACCATATTTTGAGCCAACTCCGCATTCGTCGGTGCGGCGACATTGTCTTCTACTTTGTTTCTTGTTGACTTCATTGTCTACTTGAGAATAATGTTTAGGAAAAGAAGTATATCGAATGACATTCACAATCATACTACCTTACCTAATAACTCACTATTCACATAATTTCGTAAGTTCCTCTAAAAGTCCAAATTCATTCTCACCTGAGTCAATAATGATATATCTCATATAAGTATAACTCAAACTATTCAAAGAACCACAAACTCCACCAAAATAGAAATTCAAAATCTCACATTCTCACCACGATCCTAAATATATTATTTCTTAGTCCAATTATTATTCCTATGTTTATTTTTTTCTTCTTCTTCAAAACACATTTAGAAAAACAGGTTTCAACTTTTTTTTTAAACATTTAAGAAAACGTCTTGTAATTTTTTTTTTTTTAATATGTTTTAGAAAACAAAATCTTTATACCAACTTGTTGGCCGGTATCACTGGTTGGAGTTTTAGAAAATCTTAGAAAACGTTAGTAACTCCTTTTTGAAAACCGAAGTCACTGAAGGAAAGCTTTTATTCAAAAATCCCCATTCCAAAACCGTAGGTTTTGAAACCAACTATTGATATCACTTAAGGAAGTGTAAGATAAACTCAGAAAATATTTAGATTTTTTTTTTTGAAACCCATAGTCACTTAAGAGAAACTTTTATTTTGTTTAAATCCCCAATTTAAAATTCATAGGCTCTGATACCAATTTGTAACACCCCCAAATTTCCCACCCAAAAATACATTTGAATAATGATTTATTCAAAGTAAATAATGATTTATTCGAAAAAATCAGAGTCTTGCAGCGGAAAATTCAAAGGAAAACAGGGGCGTTACCGCCACACTCGGCTCTCACATAACCGGGTGCACAGGCTATCCACCACCAACAATTAAAATTTTAATTAATTAATTGTTCAACTACAATTCTTTAAATTTAAGACTAAAATAAATTACTCAATCACTTTAGTCTATGTGTTCTAGCGGAAGCTCTCGAAATCAACTTCAATATGATCCTCAATTCCTGCACAAATAAAGTACAGAAAGAAAAACACAAAGAAACAAAAATTAGCTGGAAATGCTAAGTAAGGCCCACCCAACCCTGTAAAATAATCATGTTTGATACATATATATCATTTTGTGAAAACATTTGGGAGGAAACCTCATAAAACATTTTATACAAACTTCTCATCACAAAATCACATGTAAAATAATAATATTCCGAAAATAGGTACATATTTCCAAATCATAATAATTCTAAAAGGTCAATATACGTAAACCACCAAAATCCTCGTAATTATATTCCAAAACATAAATCATATGTACAGCCCAAATATTCATCTCAAAATAATTCCAAATACTCATAATCAATATTCAACGTAACCATATCAAATCAAATTAATAAGTATTACTTTGAAAACCTACAAATAATTTAATAATCTCAACCACATCAAATTCAATCCAATCCAAACAAATATAACCCACTCAAATAATCCAATATAATGTAATTCAATTCATCTCCATCAAGTCCAACCAAATAATCCAAATCATCTCAAGTTCAATCATTCAAACTCAACCAAATTCAATGGAAGCCGAACTCCTACCTTAAGTGTGCACACCCCCTAAAAGAGATTCCAAGCTCTCCGGGTAGTAAAAAGTCCGAGTAGTCGGGATTTTTCTACCGACTACTACAATTAAGCTGGGATGCTCCAATTTTGGGAGATCCCTGGTGGAATTAGACTTATAGCCATTACCACTCACCAAGTCCACATTTCTCGGAGTACTCACAAAAATCATAATCCAATCTCAATTTCAAGTATCATAACATCAATCAGAATGGATATGAAATCCAAATTCCACAAAATTATTCACAATGAAATTATTAACTCTAACTCATCATACTCAAATATACCATAAATAGTCCAAAATATAGGATACTTCATAAATAGCTCAAATCTCAAATCTCAGTACATTAACAATTCATATGTAAATTTGAATGCTCAAAATATCACCCAATATAAAATACTCAAATCTCAAATATATATAATTCACAATCATAATTGATACGTAAAATCTCATTAACTATCAAATACTCAAATGATCTCAAATAACTAGTCACAAATAAATATATATGGGAAACGCATGAAATTTGGTTGACATAGTACTTACTTTGAATCGTGATAAATCCTAATTGAAGCCTGCCTCTAGCCTGAACTTCTCCAAATTCGCGTTCTAGAATATTGAAATTCTAGGATTAATAATTTACTCACAATTAAGACATATACCTACTCGATTGTCCATCTGAACAGTCAGTTGTTTATAATCGCTTCATGTTATTTAATTTAATTGCCCAAATTAAAAGGGAAAAGTGATCAACTCGTCCAACAATTCTCATTGTCCAACTGTTAATTATGGTTATAGTTATACGAAGTACTTATTACTAGTAGTAATAATTAATATTATATGCCGCCAAGCATAACTATTGTGATTACCATTAAAATCAATGTTTTTAAGACTGCCAGCCCAACCTTCTGTGATCCAGTCACCTTGAACTAGACGGCCAATAATCTTAGTAGGGTCGGTCCATACCAATTAAATTATGAGGTCTGGGTCTAAATTACTCCGTATTTGTTTATGACAATAAGTGGCCGATATATATCAATTAAATAAAACGCAGAGTATGCATACTACGTACTTGATCTTCGTCGTCAACTGAAACGAGCAGGACAAAGATAGTACCGTCAATCGTGGCAGCTTCTTCGTCCGGCGACGGTGACGGCAGACTTCAGACGGCCTTCTTCTTCCAGCGATGTCACTCCTCTGTCCGCGGTGCCTGGTGGCGCGACACTTCCTTCTCTCCGGCGGTGTTGACGGAACGGCCAGTGCGTCACTCCGGCGATGGCGGCTTGGTCCGGCGTACAACTGGGTCTTCTTCTCCAGCAGTGGAGCGGCGAGATACTTTCTGCGGCGTCGTTGTAATCTTCACCGGCGACGTTCGTTCTGTGGCGACGAGGAAGATGGCCCTTCTCTCTCTCCCTCCCTCTATCTCTCTGTTTTCCTACACCTACTTTGCTCTTTTCTTTCCTCTCGATCTTGTTTTTCTTTGTTATCTATCTTCACACGCAGACTTAATGTATATTAAGGTCGTATGTTTTTGTTTTGCAGAGTGTGGTTATGCTGTGCGTATTATTATATACATATAATATGGTCTGATCGCTAGGATGGTCATGGCTCGGTACTTTTGGTTGTTACGCCATCTCATTCTTTAGTAAATACATGTGCATGTGCGATGTGTCGGAATTGTATGCATTATGCATGTGAATAGTCCGTAGTCATATATGTGATGTATGTGTACTGTCCCATGTATAGCTAATAATACTAGATTATTTGGGTTCATTTGTGAGTTGTCAATTATTATTGTCACGAGTATTGTTTTAGTAAATATATCAATTGGCCAAATGCATGCATATGAAAGACGGCAGTACATATAGTACATATATTATTGATACTATTCGTCCTATCTCATCCTAATTACATGTACTCGTATATATTATTGGTATGCACCTCATTTTTATGTACTGTATATTATTGTTATTGCCACTGATTGATTTGTTTGGCTGGACGAGTTACACATCTTTGTACACATATATTATTGATCGAGTTGATATATCATGTCTAAGTCTTACCAATAGCAGTGATTTATTATTATTATTATTATTATTATTATTATTATTATTATTATTATTATTATTATTATTATTATTATTATTATTATGGGTACTAAAATAGGTCAAGTTATTGCAAGTCGGCAATAGTATATGGCGGCTGAGTTGATAAGTATGTAGGTAGTATAATTCAATCACTTATATTAGGGGAATTAAATCTCAATTATTGTTATTATTATGTGTGTATGTCGAATGTATATATATATCAAATGTCTAAAGTCACTTTTATTCTTTGTATTATATGTATATTTATCACTTGTTACAAAACGTCACTTTTGTTATCTACGTCAAAATCTTATCTGGTCAACCTAATAATTATAAAAATGTCACTTTTTGTAACATTTTGTCAGAATAATTATTTTTATTTCAATTAAATTTTTCGGGGTGTCACAAAGGGAATCATGAAAGTTGTGAAGGGTTGTTTAGTTGTTTTCAAAGCTGAGATGAAAAACAACTTGTATGTTTGTCATGCTGAACCTGTTCTTGATTCTGTGAATTGTGTGCAACCCTGTGTGCTAGGAAAACAATCTATAGTTAGTTTTCCTGATCTGCCTAAGTGTATTGATGTGCTTGGTTGTATTCATGCTGATTTGTGGGGTCCTTATAGTGTTTCCACTCATGGTGGGAAAAATTATTTTCTGACGTTGATTGAATGATTGATGATTTTTCAAAGAAAGTGTGGGTTTTGTTGATTGAGAATAAATCTGATGTTTTTGATAAGTTTAAAAACTGGAAAACCTTTGTTGAAAATCAAACTGGTAAGACAATAAATTGTTTAACGACCAATGTCAGTTTTGATTTTTGTGATAATCAGCTTGGTGATTTATGTGATGCTTGAGGTATTTCTATGCATAAATCTGTTCCCTCAACACCCCAATCGGATGGGGTTGCCGAGAGGATGGTTAGAACTCTTTTAGAGAGGGTGAGGGCTATGTTAGCTTCATCTGGTCTCTCTAGAAAGTTATGGGGAAAGCTATTTGTTATGTTGCTTATTTGTTTAATATGTCCCTGTCTGTTCCCATAGGGGGGAAATGCCCTGAATCTGTGTTCATGGGCAAACAGCTTGACTTGCCAAATTTGAGTGTTTGGTTGTGTTGCTTATGTGAACCATGAGAATGACGAATCTGAACGTAGGACTAAGGAATTTGTTTTCTTAGGATATCATGAATGCATGAAACGTTATAGGCTTTGGTGTAGGAGTGAAACTTGCTTTAATGTGTTGATAAGTAGAAATGTCATTTTTGTTGAAAATGAATTTCCTTGCTTGCTTGTTTCTCCTGATGTTGCTCCAAATGAGGTGGAGCATTTGCCTGTTAATGTTCATTCTGATTTATTTGTTGAAACTGAGCCCAAATTTGTGAATGAAAATGTTTTTCATGTTGAAAAAAAATTATATTAAGGTGGAGCGTGATATGAATGTTGTGTGCAATATGCTTGAGTTGCGTGATTGCTATGTTATTAGAGATAAATACATTAGGGAGCATGAGAAATGATAAGTGCAAAGTGTTTGACTATATTTCCTCTGAGTTTGCTTTAAATGTGCTTAATTCTCTTTTAATTAAAATCTTTGTGATATTCGGTATGCTATTTTCTTTGTGTTTTCAAAATGTGATACCAAGTGATTATGTGAGCTCTACCTGTGCTAGTTATAGAAATAATATTGTTTCTTTTATTTTCTGTGCACTTTCTTTGTGTGGGTGTTGAATTAGTTGGAATCCCCAACTTCTCCCGGATGCTTGCTTGCGTGGGCTATTAACATACATTGTGTTTGTTAAAAGCATTGTGATGGTTTTTGTTTTGAACTCGAGGACCCTATGGTAGAGTTAAGTCCTTTATGGACTCGGCGTGCTTGGTGATCTTACCCCGAGAGTACTTCATGTCTCTCTATTACTTGTATTATCTTTGTGATTATACTTGTAATTATCCGACAATGATGAGTCCGCGGTTCCGTGAATTGTCTAAGTGCAACACTACCTTGGGCCAAAGGTGGAGATTATTAATATATTGTTGGCCCAAACGTTTTTGTATATTAATAATAGTTGACACTCTATTTAGCATCCCGTTACACCTCCTATCCTTTGCATCAGTCTGATATATTCCTATCCAGTTGTCCCGTTTGAATCATGATTAAGTTGAATTATCTCATTGTATGTACATTGCATGTATCCGTGGTTGTCCTGTTTCCTTAGCTAATAAGGCCAAAATTAGACCTTGTTCTATGGGCAGACCTTTGCTTTCTTTGAGATAAGCCAGAGCTTCAATTAACGAACCTTTATGCTTCTTGGCTGTAAGCCTCTTCCATGTGAGACTGTCTTCTCCTTTGTGAAATTAGAGAGTGAGTGTAGGCGTGGCTAACAGAGTAGCTGCTCCGTTAGCCTAGGAGTGCACAAGAGACAATCGAAACCGAGCTTCGGACTACCTGAGCCGGAATACGTTGATGGAATTGATCCTCAACACTTATTATATACATGCAAGTCCAAAAGTGATAAATTGAATTAGTGGAGGTCACTTTTCGAAGTTTGCATGTTCAATTGATGAGGTGTCCCAACTTCATAAAGAAAAATGTTTTGCTGAAACACACCATGTCCATCCACGAGGAGCACAAAGGTGTATAGGGTATTCAACTTTGTGGTGTGATGAATGATGAGTCTCAGGAAACACGAGTCTCAAGAAACACACTCAATTCCATAGCATGAACAGTTAAGCATGGATTGAAAACCACACACTCCATGTATCACCAATAATGCCTCTTTGATGTTTTATTCTATGATGACATTACTCCATGTGATTTGAAATCACAAGCTTGTTATGATGCTTTACTCTATGTTGACATTACTCCATGACAGGGATATCGAGGAAGGTAGTAGCGATGACATGAATTGGGGGCATACATGGAGGGTGTTTAAGAGTTTAGGGAAGACGAATTTGAAAAGAGAAAGAGAAATGAAGAGTTTTTTTAATAGGGGAATGAAGAGTTTACTTTAGTAGTTTCTATTTATGAAGAGTCTTTTAGCGAGGTTGTAAGAATTCAAGAAAAATTTGATCTTGAAAACCTCGATATTGAGGAAGAACTTAAGGAAGGATCTCGAGTAAGACTTGAGATCAAAGTAGATGAAAAAAATCCAAACTCATGATAGCCATGTCCACTTGGTGGTTCCCCCATCGAATTTGTTGTTACATTCTTAAATAAGAAGAAGGTTGAGGATGGTGGGGAATTTATGGTTAAAAGCTTTATCCTTGATATGGGGGAATGTAATTTTTCATTTTGCGTAATATTTTCGGGGAAATGGAATACTATTACCTCTACACTTAAAAGACAAAAATATGACTAGTATAGAGTATATGAGACCAGACCCACAATCCATATACTCGTGGATACACAGAATCTCCCCTGCAACTATTGGATCACCGACCTCGGTTGAGCCCCCTCTTCCAAGCAAGGCCCAATTGCACGAAAGGTTTCCAGAAACGAAGAAATCGGGATCAAATCCAACAACTTTGCTAAAAAACAGTCACCTTATCCTGGTCACATCGACCAAGAACACATAGGCACATAGCAAATAGCATTTACATTGTACTTATATAGCTTACTTAATTAGTGGCCCATCATATTAATTGGGCCTCTAATACTCAAACCTGAGAACTCAACTCATATTTTCTCTATAAATAACCTCTTGGGAGTAGGTATTGAAAAACATTAAATACCAAATATTTCTCTCTCCAGCTCTCTTTTATCTCTAGAACTATGCTCTATCAACTATTTTTCATTTCTCCAAAAATGTGACTAATTTTTGTTTCATATATACTAACTTTGTCCCAATTTACACTTATCACTTGTCTTTTTCAGACGCCCCACCTTAGTGATGGACCCGGGCCGGGCCAAGGCCCGGTCGGGCCTTGGGTCTGGTATAGGTTGGCCCGGGACCGGCCCGGACTATGGCCAGTTCCAGTTCGGGCCGGGCCACCCGGCCGGGTCACGGGTCGAGCCACCCGCCGGGCCGGGCCGGTTCATTATATTTTTTTTAAATAATTATATATTATACAAATTCCTATTAAAAACAAAGTTCAAGTGCATTTATTTGAAATAGGAACTACATTTGAGAATTGAGAAAAAAATAACAATACGAAATACATTTTCTAATAAATATCAATTGGGATTTCCGCCACCGTTGGTTGTTGTTTTCCCTTTGTCACAGGACTTCATATGTTTTATTGGCATCCCGTATCCGTGTGAACGCCCCAAGCAACACTCTTTCTTGCACCACTTGCAAGTTGCCCACCACAGTCCGGTTTTCGGGTCCTTCCACTTATCAAAATTGTTTTGCATAAGGGAAGATGTACTTTCCATCTTTAAAATGGTATATGTATAAGTAGGAATGTAGGATAATAAGAGAAGATGAAGATGGAGAAGAGTTGGAGAATAGTTGGAGAAGAGGTGTAGAAAAATGTTAGAAAATAGATGTATTTATAGATGTTTTTGAACCCCACTCCCCACACCACCACCCCCGGGACCCCCCTGCCCCCACCCAAAGCCCCAACGGCTATATAGCCGTTTGGGAGGTTTTGTTTGAAAAAAAAAATCAATTTTTTTTAAAGTTATACATATTGTAAATAAGTTAATTAATTTAATGAATTAAGTAAAGCTATTTGTACTTAGAAAATTGGTTTGATTTATAATTCACAAATGTTACAAAATAGGTGTATAAGTATTTAAACAAATTACATATTGTAAATGTATTTTTAATTTAAAAACCGGCTTTAGATTTTAGAAAAATAATTTTAAGTCGTAAGTTTGTTACCAATTAATTAATTTGAGAAGTGCTACATATGAAAAAATGAACGCATATTTATTTGAAATATGAAGTACAAGTTTACAAATTAATTTGAAGTACAACTACAAATTTACAATTTTGAAATATGAAGTACAAGTTTACAATTTTGAAATATGAAGTACAAGTATAAATTAATTTGACAAGTGCTACAAAATACATTTTATAATAAATTCTAAAATACTAATCAATCGGAATCTCCGGCATAGGTAGAGCCACCATCGGTTGTTGAGTCATCCATAAAATCTTGAGAGGGGGTGACGCTCATTTCTTGAGTTCTACGTGCGGCCTTCAACCAATCGTGGTAGCATATAAGCGTCTCAAGAGACTCCGCGTTCAATCTCGATCTAGATGCCGTTAGGACGTTGCCGGCCGAACTAAATTCTTGTTCCACAGCAACTGTTGAAACCGGCATTGATAGTACTTGCTTAGCCATCCGTGCTAAAATCAGGAACGTTCTTTCTTTTGACTTCCACCAGTCTAGAACGTCAAAGTCATCATTTTCTTCAAAATCAACTTCATATGTTAAATACAAAGTAATCTCATTCAATGCGCTTTGTTCAGTGACGTGAGTTGTTTTAGTTTTTTTCATAAGATTGTCAAATGCAGATTTAAAAATCTATTTTCCTTTAGATGAAAATGTTCGTGACGGGGGAGGGGGAGCATTGCTATATTGTGCACGAAACTCATTAAATAAGGCATAAAATAAAGCACTAACCTCGTTGTATTCCGTTTTCGGATCTATGGGGTTATCGTCATACATTGGAAATTCACCAAAAAACGCATGATAATAGAAGTTGAAACAATCTTCCAAATTAGCAAGTCTAAAACGAGGATCGAGAATAAATGCAATACCATAAATATGGGGAATATGCGCATAATATTTTAAAAACTTTTCCTTCATATAATCACAAAAATAACTCACGAAAATGGCATTCTCAAATTCTTTAAAAGCACCGGCGAGATTAACAGCTTCACGAATAATTTGAGTTTGCTTCCCCGTTCCGCCGCCTAATTTTGCATACTCCACGGGGTGCTTTGCCTTAAGATGCCTTGCGGCGGATCCGTATCCGTCAGAGGACCCCAAACTATCATTGTTGTTGCACCACTTGCAAGTTGCGTGCCAATAGCCGGTTTGTGGGTCCTTCCATTTATCAAAATTATTTTGCATTAGTTCAGATTTACTTTTTTTATTACCGGTGGCGGTTTGGGACGAGGCAGGCTCGTCGGTGTCGTGGCTGCCGGCACCCTCCTCCTCGGCCGTCTCCAGTTCCATTTCCTCCGCATCTTCATCCTCAAGCTCCTCTTCGTCAATGGTCGTCGGGATTTGTTGTTGTTGTAGAAAGCGGTTATTATGTCGGGCCAATTCTTGTTGTAGTTGTTCTTCGGACATCGCATCTCCATCTCGTCTTTGGTAACCCGTTTCAAAATCATTTCGGCTTTGAGATGAAGAGCCGGCAAGTTCTTTACCTTTGCGGGATTTCTTCCACTCAATCTTGTTCCTTCGATTGCGTTGGAGGTTACCCAAAATCAACCGAATATCTACCACCTTCCATCTTAAAAATGTAACAAATATTAATTCGCAACAAATATAATAATGAATACAAAACTAATGCAACTAATTAAAACTATTTTAATTAATACTTCAAACTAATTTAGTGCAAAGTAGAATTAATGTGTGACTCTAAAATTAAAATTATAGCAACTTTTCAAGTACTTTAATTTAGTAAAAACTACTTAAATAAAATGTTAAGTATTTTAAATAAATGATTGAACTACTATTTTTTCGTTCAAATATAAATTGAAAATATTATAATGTGACTTTAACTATAATGACAATTAACTAGTTTTTTGAAGTAGAGTTGTTTTAGCAATTAATGGGAATACTAATGAACTAATTAACTAGTATAATGAAAAATGTAACAAAAATGCTAATGAACTAATTAACTAGTTTAATGAAAAATGTAAAAAGAATACTAATGAACTAATTAACTAGTATAATGAAAAATGTAACAAGAATGCTAATGAACTAATTAACTAGTATAATGAAAAATGTAACAAGAATACTAATTAACTAATTAACTAGTATAATGAAAAATGTAACAAGAATACTAATTAACTAATTAACTAGTATAATGAAAAATGTAACAAGAATACTAATTAACTAATTAACTAGTATAATGAAAAATGTAACAAGAATACTAATTAACTAATTAACTAGTATAATACTTGTTATAGTAACTAATATATAATATAATGTTTATAGTATATAATATATAAGTATACTACTATAAGATGAGTAATACACTTATATTTTATACTTTAATATATAAATTATATATTAAGTAGATGTAGAATGTATGTATTAACTATTAAGTGGATATAGTAATTATATAAGAATTAAATATTAGAGTATAATGGAGAATTAGAGATTGGAGAATAAGAAAATAAGTATATATGAAATATAAGTAGAGAAGTAGATATTATTATGTATTAAGTATATAGTAATAGTTTATAAAGTATATTTAATACTTTAATATATAAAGTATATATTAAGTAGATGTAGTATGTATGTATGTATTAAGAGATATAAGTAGAGATTAAGTAGATAAGAGATATAAGTAATATAGTATATGTATTTATAAGTAGATAATTAATATATAAGTAGATATAATAATGGCGAAATTCATGCTAATAATCCGTACTTTTAGTGGTTCTACAATAATAATTCCTACCAAAGATGTCTACACAAATAATCCAAACTCGTAAATCCGTCTACATAAATAGAATAAATCTTCCATGAGCAACAGACATTCACCTAATGGACTTTTAATCTTCTTAAAAAATGATTATATTTTCATTTTAATTCATGTTTCAAAGAACTAAATGAAAGAACTACTAGTACAGTGCATGGGTTTGGTTTACTGAATAAATCAAAACAGTTTACAGTAGAAAATTAATAATAAAAAAAAGGTTACCTTAAGAGTTAATATAATCCATCGAGTCATAATTTTGACTCAATCCTTATTAGTATATTTTAAAAATCAATATAAAACGCTTCTAACAAACATTTGTACCGCAAAACTGCAGAAGTGTAATGCATTGAAATATAAATTTAATCCGGTCTTTGATTTAGGTGAATGAACTTTTATTCATGGAAGATTTAATCTATCTATGTAGACGTGTTTATGAGTTCGGATTATTTGTATAGACATTTTCGGTAGGGATTATTATTGTAGAACCACTAAAAGTAGGGATTATTGGCATGGATTTCCCCTATAATAATTGTATAAGTATTAAATAGTAAAATAAAATATAATGGAGAATAAGAGAATTTGAGAAGATGAATATGGAGATGAGTAGAGAGTAGGATTTAGGAAGAGTTGGAGATGTGTGAAAAAATGTTTAAAATTAGGAGTATTTATAGTTTTTTTTTAACCCCCACCCCCCAAAGGCCCCGGACCCCCCCTGGTACCCACCCAACGGCTATATAGCCGTTTGGGAAGTGGGTCAAGTGCTCAAAAGGCTTTTTTAATTTAAAAAGAATTTTTTTAAAAAAAAAAATGGACCGTTAGGCCCGGGGCCGGGCCGCCAAAAACTACACCCGAGCCCGGACCCGCCACCCCCACCGGTTCGGTGCCCGAACCTGACCCGGACCCGAGAACCGGGCCGGTTCCGGGCCCGCACAATAACGGGCCGGGCCGGTCTCGGGCCGGGCGGCCCGAACCGGGTCCACCACTACCCCACCTAAAGCTTTCCATTTCTATTTTAGGAAATAATTAGCACTATTAAATGAAAAAGTAATCAATAAATATTAAATATATAGCCATCAAGACTATTTCTCAAAACTATATATCCCCGCTCAACGAGAAGCTTAAGCGGGGATGGATGTAGGCTCTGTTTGCAATCTCTGTATATAAGTGCTTTTGGCTTTTTTTAAGAAAAAAGCACTTATTTTACCAAACACTACCAACTTTTACTATCTCGGTTTTCATGTAGAATCTACTTTTTTCTTTTTCTATTACACAAAAAGCACTTATTTTACCAAACACTACCAACTTTTACTACTAATCACTTTTTCCCAAAAAGTGCTTTTATTTAAGCACAAGTGGTTGCAAACAAAGCCGTAGTATAAAGAGTATTTCTATATACACCCATGTCCCTGCCCCACCCCTACCCCACTGCCTCCTCCAGCCACACCAACTGGTGGCCACCGAAAAGAAGTAACAATAGAGTAACAAAGAGATTTAGGCCTCCCACATGCATGCTGAGAAAAAGACTGACGGCCGAAATGTGGAATAGGAGGAAAGTTATTTTCAACACTCGGTGCGTGAGGATATATCAAAAACAATGAAGAGAATGTCAATACAGAAGGTACGCAGTTGACTGGAGTCAAGTTCTGTAGATATTTTTTTGGCGTTACTTAAACTCCCCTCAACTTTATTTCCACACGGGTGATGGATGCATGGGAGTGGGGGTTATTTTGTGCAGGGAGGCGCACACGAATACATACTATACACACAACACTGGCATTAGAAATTGTAGTGTTACATAATAATTTATAGGAAATCCCATCGCCAATAAACTTTCTCCACGATGCCACCACCAATTCGGATGGCAACCCGGAGTGTTTCAGAAGCAGGAGGGACCCCCCAAAGAAATGGAACAGAAACTGTCATCGTTAGCCTTTCATTCAAGCCGCCATCATTGCTTCCTTTTTCTGCACAAACGACCTACACAGATAATCATCTCTTTAGCGTAGGCAGTAATTGCATGGTGTAGATGCACCCATTTAGATTCATTGTCTTTACCTCTAAATACGGCAAAGAATCTTCCGCTCGTAAGGACTAAAGGAGATACAAATGAAACGAAAAATGGATAAGTACCTACCTCACCACCTTGTTCCAGTACTATGTCCTCCACAACATCACTCAGCATCTCAACAGAACGGCAAAATCCCAGAATACATAGCTTTCTGCCCATGTCAAGACCCTGATCCAGATTGGCACTCATCGCCCTTTCAATATACCTTTGGTAGGAAAATAAAGAAAAAACTGGAAGACAGAAATCTTTACATTTGTTGCTGCAATATCAAAAAGTGAACCCAAACAGAGGACTTGATGTGGATCCATGTAATCACTCTCTTTGTACCGTTGTACTCTTTTGGCTATTTTCACTTTTCCTCTCTTCTTCTGCATATGCAGTGATTATTAGAAAGAGCACCGAGTGCATAACTACTTTTGATTCATGTCAGTTTTTTTCTTTGCCAAGCACATTTGTGAAACTGCAAAATTGTATATAAAATGTGTGCAAGAGAGGTTTAATGGCATACATCTGAAATACGTTGTGGGACGAAATTCCCACCTATTTGTATCAGCCCATCAGTGGTGAACAGGGTGACTTTATCCTCTTGTACCCATTGCACCGCTACATATTGCACACACAAACAACATGACATAAGTACATACCTAGACTAAAGATTAGTACCCAAATAAACCCAATGAATATATAACAAATCAAGTTGCCTATAGTCTTTTGAAAAGTTACATTATAGTGTGTATGCTCTTGGTTCCACTATCAGATCCCAATCCTAAGCTGAAGTTTTACCTTAATATAAGAAAACCAAATAGAATGTGGTTACTGTAGCTCCTCCTGCAGCCCACAGAAACCACAAATGTTGCACACAGCAATATCGAAACTTTAGTCCCAAAAGAGTTAGAGACAACTAACATGAATCGACAAATGAGATCGGAGCTAAAAAGATACTCCCTCCGTCCCTAAATAAAATGCACACTTTCCTTTTTGGGTTGTCCCTATATAAAAGGCAAGTTTCCCTTTTTGGCAAACAAAACTATGCAAAACAGTGTCAAACAGTGTTCAAACGGTGTCAAACAGTATTCCTTCTTAGGATGTGTGTCAATCAAAGTATGTCTTTTATATAGGGACGGAAGGAGTAAAAAAGATTAAAAATGATAAAAAAGGATGAGATAAAAGGATAAAAAAGATAAGATAAAGATAAAAAGGGTAAGTTAATAAGGATAAGATAAAAAGGATAAAAAGATAAAGAATATAAGAAAAAAAAAGAAAAAAATGGAAAAGACGAAATGAGATCAATACTTCCCTCAAATATTATGCATTCACTTCTCTCTCCAAGTCATACTCTCATTCAACACAAGAAGTAACATAACACTCCTAATTCCTCTAATCCACGTATATTTGGGTCTTCCTCTTCCTCATATTCCCGAACTTCTCACCACCTCTCTATTAGTCTAATAGGTGCATCAATTGATCTTCTACACACATGGTCAAAACCATTACAATTGAGACTCTCATTTCTCAAATAGTCTTTTCTAGTATTTTCACACATCCAGTGCAACATGTGCAACTTCTACACTTATCTTTTGAATGTGACATTATTTCACCACACAATGCTATACATACAAATATACAATAATGCAGACCTAATTGTTTTCCCAAAACCACAATATTGCATACTTGCAAATAAGAGTATCATAATCATATGTTAAATATGATTAACTATAGCTTATAGCTTATAGTTTATAATTTTTAACTATAGTTTAACTATAGCGTATAGCTTATAATTTTTTTGCTTAACTATAATAATAATTATGTTAAAAACGCTATTTAGGAGAACAAAAGGAGGTTTTGAAATAAAACAGTATTTCATACGCCCTAACCCTCTGTATAGCTTCACATAAATTCTGATGTTTTCTGTTCGTTTCCACTAGCACTCTACTAAGTTATGAAAAAAGAAAAACACCTTCTACATATTTCTCATTAAAAATTTTAACTCCAAATTTGAACTTTTACATCCAAAAGCTTATTTAAAATGATGAGTACCACTTTCAGTCTAGCTTTACCGGAAGGTGTGCCAAACATAGCCACAATTTGGTTTATTTATCTATTTGAATTAACGATTCAGCAAATTTAAAGGCCTTGCACCGCCCTAAACATGCACAATGACAAGTGAAGGTGATCAAATATAAATGGAGTTTTTGTACAAAAACAATTTTTTATTTTTTTACATTCTACTGAATGAACCAGATCAGTATTCAATTACACAGACGAATAAGCGGTACTGAAACTACAACTAACAATCACCATAAATCATTTTCGTTTGAGCACAAAGGACAAAAACTTGATAAGATTCATCACAATAACATAAGGAAATCATTTTTTTTTGAACAATTCTCACAAGGATCCGAAGAACCGGAGGAATCCCAAGGATAATCCCCGAACGCATCGTCGGTGATGAAATTGTCCGACCCGGATGCATTGACTGCAATTCGGAACAAACGGGTTGGCGATCCGCCAAGCGATTTCGGGAAAGACAGAAAGGAGAATCGAGTGAATGAAGAAGAGGGTATTGGTTCTTTGAATGGTGCGATTGGCGAGAAGGTGAACAAACTGAGAGCGCAAGCATTAGGCATCGTAGCGATTGCTGGACATATGAAATGAAACTAAAATTCATAATTAAAAGTGAGCTTGTTTGGCAATTAGGGTGGACTGAGTTAGTAGATTTGACTAACGGATTGAGTCAGCGGATTTGACCGGCAGATTACAAAACAATAATTTAAACAGTGTTAAACAGTGCCAAATAGTGTCCGAACAGTGTCAAACAGTGTTTAAACACTGCAAAACAGTGCACTCCACTGTAAAGTCAAATTTATTTTCTTAATATGTGAAGTCAAACCAGAAACTTAATTGGGGACGGATGGGTATTCGTTTTTAGCGGTTAATAAATAAAAAAGACAAAAAAGACATTTGTGCATTTTAATACTCTTTCTTTGTTTGGCCTTACGAGTTCGAATGTAACTTTTTATATTTAAATTATGAACTTGTATTTAATTAAACGTATTCGATGTTATTATTATTGTCACTTTATATTATGGAGTACTCCCCCGTCTAATTGGGACGGAGGGAGTACTATTAGACCATCTGTAGTGGTTCCAGATTAGGAGTCAAAAAATTAAATATGGAATTTTTAGACTCTTAATTGAGTGTAGTGGGAGATTAAGAGAGGGAGTAAAAATGGGAAGGGGAGGGGAGGAGTCTAAAAATAGAGAGTTGGGTTGACATGGGAAAAGAAAAGGAAAAAGAAAAAAAAGAAGAAAAGCGGCCGCTTCTGCGCGTTGGTGTGCATTCTGCTCACGTCAGGATAATGTCACGCTTACGTCATTAAAATCTCATTTAATTTTAAACTCTTATAACTTTTTTATTTTTTCTCCAAATTCTTCGAAAAATATATCAAAATTCATATTTTTTTATGATCTTTCATATGACACCAATATGTAATATATAAAATGAAAATAAGTAAATTTTAACTGTTGAAGTTTTGTTGAACCCAAAAAAGCACAAAACACGAATTTTTAATTCATCAAGCCTTCACAAATAATAATTGAATATTCCATAATCGAATTTTATTTTAACTAAGTTGTTTTTTGTTAACCAAAAACCGTTTAAAAAAGTTAGTGAAATTTATTTTTTTTACATCGAAATGCGTATCTTTTACTTCATAATTTTCTAGGTAAAAAATTAAAAGGAAAATATTTTTTTATAATAACTTAATTAAGGTTTTACTAAATTGATAGATAAAAAATATGCAGAGTGTATTTTATTGACGGCGCACGAATGCGGGAAAAAACAGTATTGGCGAAGTGTAAACACCATTTTCATGTGGACGAAGTCCAAATTTAACAATTTAGACTCCCCACCATTACAAATGGTCTTAGGAAGTACTCCCTCCGTCCCGATTAGACGATACCATTTCATTTGGATGCGGAAATTAAGAAGGGGTATGGAAATTCCAAAATTGTCCTTACTTTTTCCAGGCTTTTTACTTACCTCGGTCTTCTTCTCTACCTGTAGCCTACCCGACTCCTCTGCCTCTTTTTTTTTTTTTTCCATTTCGCTTCATCCATTTTCTTCCCTACTAAGTCTCCCATACCTCTACCTCCGATCCATCCACACCATTCTTAAATTAATAAATGGAGAATCAAATATATGTGCCAGACTGGCCTCTACTGAACAAAGCAAACGAAAAAATGGGAGAAGGAACCAGAAATTGAGAGTTCTTGCTTTGGCCGATTGGCCTCTACTGAACAACGTCTGTGTTGAGTATTTCATTTACAAAAGCACCAAAAATTGAGAGTTCTTGCTTTGGCCGTTCAGTCCCTGATGCTTCACGAGATGCTTCGAAAAGGGGAGGGAGAGTGGGAGACTAACAGTCTGGAGACGGGCATACTTCGTATGGAGTATAAGGGAAGGGTCGTAGGGATAGAGAAGATTGGGTCGAGATTGATGCCCCAGATTGAGGGTAGGGTTCTATGAGGAAGATGCTGATAGTAGAGAATTGGGGATAATTGGGATTTCGGGTGAGGAAAGAACGTAAGTGATGCAGTGATACAGAAGGCTTAAATTCCATGGTACAGCCTCTACGGTGCACACGGTACAGTCAGATTTTTTTGTAATTAATATGTGCGCTGCAACTCATCTGCCAAGAAGAAGAATGGGCATCAATGAAGATGGGGCATCGACTTCCCAGGTCTCCAACTCGCGAAATGAAATGTGGATTTCGCTTTTGACCTGAGATTCAATTCTTCCCACCCCTGTTTCTGGGCTGACTTATAGAAAGAAGAAGGGAAAGGAGTTGAAAGCTCTTTGTGGATCTGTTTGTATCGAAATGAGTTTGATATTAAAGACAAATGAGTATAATGTCCAAAAGGAATGAATATTCACATATGAATATTGGACACATAAGAACTGAGTTTGTATGTTAAACTCAAATGAGTGTCGTGCCCAAAATGAATGAGCATACAGAAATGAGCTTTTGAATTTTTTAATACTCATTTTGTAAGTTATGTATGACATTTGGAATCGCTTTATGCTCATTTTAAAAGGTTGCACATTTCAAACATATCATATTACATTAGAAATAAGTTTTATGTTAAATTCACATTAATATAACGTTCAAAATGAATGAGCACACACAAATGCATTTTTTGATTTTTTTTATATTCATTTTGTAAGTTATGTGTGCTCATGTGGTACTGCTTTATGCTCATTTTAAAAGGTTACACATTTCAAACATATCATACTACATTATAAATGAGTTTTATGTTAAATTCACATGAGTATAACGTTCAAAATGAATAATCACACACAAATGCATTTTTTTATTTTTTTTATACTCATTTTGTAAGTTATGTGTGCTCATGTAGTACTGCTTTATGCTAATTTTAAAAGGTTGCACATCTCAAACATATCATATTACATTAGATTCACATATTAAAAGTAATTGAAATTGATTATAGACATAACTTAAGACTTTTTAATAAACGAAAAATAATAAACAGAAAGTGATGTATAAGGTATGAAGCAGACATCACTGATGCTCACCGTTAGGCTCCTAATACTCAAAAGAACAGACTTGATGCTCAACAAAATTGCGTTAATGTTCATTCAAAAGAAGCCGCGTTTTTCATCAAAATTGCAAAAATGCCACCGGCTGTACGGATGGCACCGTACAGCCGGTTGTACCGTATACGCTTCCTACAGAAGGGGGAGATTGGTGAGGAAGAAGAACTGCGATACGATACAGGGGGAAGTAATTGGGGCTGGGAAATAGTTGAAAGGGTAAAATTGGGAATGCACCTAATAATACTTTCCAAACAAGGAAATGGTACCATCATTTTGGAACATCCCAAAAAGAAAATAAGTACATCAAATTGGGACGGGAGTATAATATATCCAATAAAATAATTTGTATCTTATATAAGTACGTACTACGTAGTACTAGTACATAACACCAGGTGGTAGACCCACAACAATAAAAAATGAAATACACGGATGCACCCTCTAGGCCTCTATTATTGCTGATTTGCTGCTACACAATTCAATGAGTAAGAAGTAAGAACATTGATAATTACACAAGCATTACACTCATTGCTACATGTGGTATGAACATAGGTGTAATCGAGCTTTTCTTCTTTTCATAATTGTTTTCTTTTCATTTTTAGCTTGTTAAATTTTTTACACTCCGTACTTATTTACGTTAAATATTTAGTAATTTGAAATTCTATTTTTATGTGTTAGCCGTTTAACGGTGATTAAATACTATCGATTCTTATATCGGTTCACTTCAAGAACCGAATCCATATGGGATTAACGGTTCAAGAACTGAACCGATCTCACCCCTACATTTTTCTTCGTAAGACGACATATAAATTATCACTTTTTATTTTTTTAAAATTGAAAAGATTAGTTTATCTTGGGTATCAATATTAATGTAGAAACTTCTTGTTCAACTTTGTTTATCTTAAAATGATAAAAAAAAAATCAAAATTTAATGTTCAAATCTTGCATACTGAGACCATCCTGATACTCACCTTCCGTCCCGACCGGTATTAGTTCAGGACTCGTTGGCCGGTTTTTTATTGCGGATAAATAATTAGCTAAATCTGCAATCAGATCTCTGCGTACTTGTGATGAGTAGAAGACGACTATAAAAGTCCTCGGAAATCTTTGGTCAAAAGAAGAAACAATTGTAGAGAATTAATGTACTAAAAATGAGTTAAAAGTCCACGAGAATCCGTCATTTAAGAAGCCCATAAGAATGAACGGAAATTTGAATACGCCTATACTTTTATGGACTTTTAAAAGTCTATATTGAATACACCGAAACTTTTGTAAACTTTTAAAAGTCCACATTGAATACACATAAACCTTTAAAATCCATGGGCTTTTAAAATTTTGTCATTATTTCCTAATACAGTACACCCCCCTTAGAGTCCGTTTGGCGTTTGGTATATCGAAACTACTCAATTAGTTGATTCAGCTGAAAATTTTAAAGTTATGATTGAAGTTCTTAGACTGATGCAATCTGCTGATTTGTGAAGAAGAAGAAAATTTAAAATATATTTTATTATGAAAATAAAGAACAAATTATATGCAAAATAACTAAAGATGATCTGATAGAGTATATGGGCTCAGACCTCAGTCTCATGACTACTGAGCCCTGATAGCGGTCCACGTACACTCAATAGATAGCATTTACATTGTTGTACACTCTATTTATTCACACACACAGATATATATATATATATATATATATATATATATATATATATATATGTATATATATATGTATATATGAGGACTTTTCATGTCCAGCCGGCCTGACGGGAACCGCCGTCCGGCCGAGGGCATTTCGGGCACTTCCCGATGGAATTTTTTGATGAAATTTTTTTAGCATGTTCTTCATGAAGTCTAGTTTATCCATACCAAATTTCAGCTCCAAATTCGATCGGGAAGGCATTCAAATAATTTTGTGAAGTTAACTGGTCAGTTCATACATATAAACTGCCCAGTTAACTTCACAAAATTATTTGAAAGCCTTCCTGATCGAATTTTGAGCTGAAATGTGGTATGGATAAACTAGACTTCATGAAGAACATGCTCAAAAAAATTCATCAAACAAT